CACACTTAGGTACTAGGGATTAAACCCATCTCTAGCCCCTTTTATAATTTTTTTATTTAGAGACATGGTGCATTACTAAGTTGCTGGGTTTGAACTTGTGATCCTCCTGCCTCAGCCTCCCAGAGTGATGGCATTACAAGTGTGTGGCATCATGCCCACTCCTACAAATTTTGAATCCAGCTTCTTCTCCTCATTTCCTCTGCAGATAGGTCCATAACGGGTTAAGCTACCCTCAAAATAATCTGTCCATGTCCTAACTCTCAGAACCTGTGAATGTCTGCAAACATGTACCAATAAAAATAAAAATTAAATGAAGAACCTGTGAATGTGACCTTTTTGGACAGTGTCTTTGCAGGTGTAATTAAATTAAGGATCTCAAGATAAGGTCTAGGGGTATAGGTCAGGGGTAGAGTACCATGCTAAGTATTTGCAAGGCCCTGGGTTCAATCCCAGCACCAAAACAATGGAGGTGGTTACCAGGACGGACCCCGAATCCAATGACAAGTGTGCTGATAAAAGGTAGAAGAAAAGACACAGGGAGAAAAGAAAACCACGTGGAGGCAGAGTATGGAGCTTGCAGCCACAGCAAAAGAGCGCCTGGACCACCAGAGGCAGAAGAGGGAGAAAGAGGAATCACAGCCCCTTGATACCTTGATCTTGGACTTTCAGGCCCCAGAATGGTGAGCCAATACATTTCTGTTGTTTTCAGCACCAGGTTCATGGGAATTTGTTATGGCAGCCCTAGGAAATTAATATAAGCCCCTTAATATCAATTCTTTCCTAGCCCCAGCTAGGGAGAGTATTTATTTGGTTACCTCTGTCAGTGAAAATGTTTTAATCATGCAACTCAATAATATCTGTATTTATTTATAACTATCAATGGATAGCATTGCATTCATGTTTTATTTATGTTATAAAACACACCTGAAACATAGACATGAAAACAAGTGAGATAGATCAAAAAGTAAATTAGTAATACAATAATTTTGAGATTGCTTGGCTGTTTCTAATAAGCTTAAACAAACTGTCTTACTGTGTGACCCATCAATTCCACTCCTGGGTATTTAGAGAAATGAAATATTGTTACGATTCATCCATGTTGTAGTACATATCTGAATTTCATTATTTGGCCAAATAATATTACATTGGGTAGATGGACCATGAATTATTTAGTCATACAAAGATACGTGCACATTTTCGTAGCACCTTTATTACTCATAGTCAAAAACTAAAATCAAGCTGAATGCCCATAAGCAGGTGGAGTAGATAAACAAATAGGTATATCCATACAATGAGATACTTCTCACCTATAAAAAGGAATACTTTCTTGGAGAGTAAAAGTTTTTTTTGCAATGTAATTTACATATCACATAATTCACCATTTTTGTTTTGTTTTGTTTTTTAGGGTGTCAACTATGTCACCCAGGCTGATTTTTGATACACTTCCAGAGTTATAAGATCACTACCACAGCCAGGTGTGGTGCCGCACACCTGTAATCCCAGCACTTGGTAGGCTGAGGCAGTAAGATCACTGTAAGTTCAAGCCCAGCCTGGGCCACACACTAAGTTGAAGGCCAGCCTGGAACACATAACAAGACCATGTCTCAAAACAGTAAGTCACCAACTCGATCCATTTCCAAACTTTTCATCTCTGCAGAAGAACCCCTGTACCTATAAACTATCACTTCCCAAACTCCTGTACTCCCTAGGCCTAGATAAACACTGATCCATTTTCTTTCTCTACAGATTTGTCTATTCTGAACATTTTGTACAAATGAAATTATATAATATATGATCTTTTTTCATACTGGCTTCTTTTACTTAGCACAATATTTTTAAGGTTTATCCATGCTGTAGTGTGCATCTGAGCTTAATTCTTTTTTATTGCCAAATAATATTCCATTGTACGGACACATGACAATCATTCATTCATCAGTAGATATGTGGCTTTTTTCCACTTTGGGGATTCTTTTGGTGTTATATTAGTTTTCTAGGGCTGCTACAACAAAATACCTCGGTGGCTTAAAAAACAGAAATTCATACTTCCACAGTTCTGAAGGCTAGAAGTCCAAGACCAAGGCACATGGGCTGGTTTAGTTTCCTCCTCTCCTCTTGGCCTGTAGACGATGGTTGCCTTCTTCACATGGTATTTCCTCTGTAGGTTCTCAGCCCTGGTGTATCTTTGTCCAGATTTCCTCTTCTGATGAGGAAACTAGTCAAAATTGGATTCCAGCCCACCCTTAAGACCTAATTTCCACTTAATTACCTCTGTAAGGAATTTCTGTCTCAATTCATTTTTAGGTTCTAAGGGTTAAGACTTCAACATATGAATGGGAGGAGACACAATTCAGCCATAATAGGGTAAAAAAAGAATGAGTTAAGAAGCCATTGCCAAACCAAAGTCACAAAGACTTACACCTACTTTTCCGCTAACACTGTCATAATTTTAGTTCTACATTTAGGTTTTGATCTTGCTCTTTTTTTTTTTTTTTTTAAACAGGGTCTCACTATGCAGTTCAGGCTGGCCTTGAACTCACTATGTAGCCCAGGTTGGCTTTGAACTCATGGCAATCCTTCTGCTTCAGCCTCCCAAGTGCTGGGATTACAGGCGGGTGCCACTGCACCTGGCTATGATCCATTTCTAATACTTCTTTGTATATGATCTGAAGTAGAGGTTCAGCCTCATTTTTTGCAGATAGATACTCAATTTTCCCAGCACATTTGTTGAAAACACTGTTCTCCCCACCACCACCATTGAATTGTTTTCATGTGGTTATCAAAAAATCACTTAGCCACAAATGTAAAGTTTATTTCTAGACTCTCAGCACTAGCCCATTGATCTATGCCTGTCCTTGAGTCAGTACCACACTGTCTTGATTACTGTAACCTGGTAATTTTCAAAATCAGGAAGTGTGAGTTCAATTCACGCTTTCTTTTTATTCAAGATTGTTTCAGCTATTCCAAATTCCTTTGCATATGAATTTTAGGAGGAGTTTGATAATTTCTGAAAAGAAGCCAATTGGACTTTTGATAGGACTGAATTGAATCTGTAGAGCAATTTGGAGACCATTGTCATCTTAACAATATTAAGTCTTCCAATCCATGAACATGGAATACCTTTCTATTTATTTAAATCTTTTCTTTAAATAATGTCTTACAGTTTTCAAAGTAAGAGCTTCTAACTTCTTTTGTCAAGTTTATTCTAAGTATTTTTATCTTTTTGATGCTGTTGTAAATGGAATTGTTTTCTTCATTTCATGTGTAGGCTGTTTATTGCCAAGTATATACAGTATGATTGATTTTTGTATATTGGTTTTGTATCCTGTAACCTTGCTGAACTTGTTTATTAATTCTAGGAGGATTTTTTTGTATATATCTGGGGATTTTTTTTTTTTTTTTTTTTTTTTTTTTTGTACCAGGGATCAAACTCGGGTCCTTGCACTTGCGCAGCAGGCGACGAAACCACTGAGCTAAATCCCCGGCCCAGGATTTTTCTATATACAATATCATGTAGAAATGAAACTCTTGATACAGGTAGCAACATAAAGACATTTTTTAAGTAGGTGCAAGGAAGTCCATGTGTATGCTCACATGAGGTTCAAGAACAAGGGTGTGGCATGTAGCTCAGTGGCAGACCTTAATATATAGGAGGCCCTGGATTCAATCTCCAGCCCTTTTCTTCTCCCCCACCCCCCAAAAAATCAGAAAAACTAATCTTTGGTGATAGAAGTCAGAATAGCGATAAATTTGGGACTAAGGGGTAAGGAGTATTGAAGAGGAGTGTGAAGGGATTTGAGGGGTGAGGGAAATGTTCTATCATGGTTAAGTAGTTATATGCATGCATTAGAATTTATTAAGCTGACCCCCAGGATGAATTTAATTTCTAGAAAATTATAACTTTAATAAGAAAACAAAGAGATAAAGATGAAATAAGCTACTTTAAAATATAGTGGGCTAATAGTATCATTAATTAATTCTTTCAAGCCACTCTGTACATATAGGAATTAACTCAAAATTAACAATGTACATAAAGCCACAGAGTCTTTGCAGAAATCTTTCTAAGCCACTGGCCAATTTTAGGAGAGTCAGTCTAGTTAAAGCCAGGTAGCATGATGCATAAGACTACTTCAATCCAGCAGTTCTTAAACTGTGAGGCCTCATAATATGCTTTAAATGGCTCTGGGAACAAAGAAGGACACCTCCTCATGGTGAGAGGCCTGGTATGGAATTACACAAGTGACCTGAATGGCTCACTAAACAAGGGTACCAATATTGATTTGTCTTTTACAAATTTGTCATTACAAAATTATAATACTTTCTTTGTGCTCATAAGTGAATCATCTTGCCTATGCTCACTCTGGAGGTCTCTCCACACTCAAGCCCACTGCCCACTCTCTGATGTCCCGGCTGCTGGCTCCCTCAAGCTCATGCTCTGGCCCCAGTCAGACAGAAAACCATTCAATCACATGACATCTCATGGGGCCTGGCCTACCTGCCTCTTCACAATGGAAAAGACAGAGGGGAGGGACCCTTCCCTGTCTGCTTCCAGTCTCCCTCAGTCACTATGCCACACAGCTCCAAGGAAGAAGGGCCTATGTCTACCTCCACACTTCACATTTTGCTTCTAAGGAAGGGCTAAGAAGGGCCAGGTGTGGTGAGGCACACCTGTAATCCCAGTACTCAGGAGGTGAGGCAGGAGGATTACCCAGAGTTTGAGGCCACAGTAAGTTCAAGGCCAGCCTAAACTACATAGTGAGAACTTGTTTCAAAAAGGTGGGGAGGACTAAGAAGGGACCCCTGTGACAAAAGCCTCTCAGAGAGCACCTGCCATGTGGAAGTGATCTGAGCCCAGGAGGGAGCAGGTTCGGGGTGAATGCTGCTCCCTACCCAGAGTTACTTGGTTGTTTCAAACCACTATCAGAATTCCCAAAGGGAATCACTATGCATTATCTATCACAGAAAATGTCACAGAAAAAAATGAAAATATATCAGCTTCTTACCTTATTTTCAATAACCAAGGGCTGTATTTGTGCATCAATGGTTGTTACAGCCTTAAAGAAAAAGGGAATGAGATAAAGTATTACAAAGGCATTTTAGCAACCTGCCTTTACAACGTATTGCTGCTAATAACTAATTAATCACACTCAGAAAGCAAAAACAATGACAAGTAGCCTTGGAATACCTAAGCAAATTCTAACGAGATTAGTGTTGCTGTGGGTGAAATGTACTACAGCTCCAAAATGTCCAGCTCACAAATGTATTCACATAAACACTTATCGGAGCCTTACAAGTGTGCCAGGCACTGTGCTAGGCACTGGACACTCAAAGATGAAAAAACAACAGTGGCTCAGCCCTCAGGGAGCCCAGAGTCCCCTAGGGAGGAGAAATGTGCTGGTCAGTAAGGAAAGCACTGCAGCAGCATCAAGACATGGGGGCACAGGAGGCTGACCCCTGCCCCACGCTGTCCCCAAGACAGCAGGATGCAGTGCTCCCCAGACAGGCTTGGTGGAGCAGGGCCATCAGACAGTGAGCAGCTCTTGGTAGGGTCTTGGAAGAGATTAGTTACCATCCTGCCTGTTCATGACCTCCTGTGCCGCACGAACTGTGGAAGCTGCTCCCAATCCAGAGAAGAACTCGTGTAAATTTCTTCATGGTGATAACTGAGGAAAGTTGTAAAACATGACCCCAGTAAGTCTGCTCCCTGTGCCCATGCTCTGGTGTGACTGAGACTGCCATGGGACTTGGCTGAAGAACAATAGCGATGTGATGCAAGCAAAGGCTTGGAAAACGCTTCTGCTTGGGGTTTGTCCTCTCTTGCTGCTCTTGGGGCCCTTTCGGCCACCCCCATGTGAATGAGCCCTAGTTAGTCTAACACTAATGCTCCTCAAACTATTCCATTAAATAGGCAGGAAAGAAAACCCTTCAAACTCATTCTATAAGGTCGATGTCACTTTAATTCCAAAACTGGACAAGGACACAACAGAAAAAAGAAAACTATAGACCAATATCCTTGATTAATATGCAAATCCATAATAAAACACTAATGCACTGAATTCAACAATACATTAAAAAGATGATATGCCATAATCAAGTTGGTTTCATTCCAGGATGCAAAGATAGTTCCAAATACACAAATCTGCCGGATGTGGTGGCACACACCTGTAATCCCAGCCCTTGGGAGGCTGAGGCAGGAGGATCACTGAGAGTTTGAGGCCAGCCTGGGTAGTCGGTGAGTTCAGGACCACTCTGAAACCCCGCTGCAGACAGGCAGGTCTGCCCATGCCCTACCGAGGTCCTGAGTCACGCGGAAGACGCCGAATCACCCTGATGCAGACAGGCAGCCACCTGATTCCACACTACAAAGACGCAGAGGACACCAGACCACCAGACCAAGGTACTGAGTCCCACTGTTCCCC